GCTGCAAGGTGGTGCAGTTGGTAGAACTGTTGCCTCGCAGCAAGGTCACCAGTTTGCGTCCCAGTGCGGACACCCGGGATCTTTCTCCCTGTGCAGCGTGGGTTCTCTCCGGGTTCTCCGGCTTCCTCCCACACAGTCCAAAAACATGTTGAGGTTAATTGATGATTCTAAATTGTCCGTAGGTGTGAATGTGAGTATGCTTGGTTGTCTGTCTCTAAGTGTAGCCCTGTGATAGACTGGTGACCTGTCCAGGGTGTCCCCTGCCTTCACCCTGAGTCAGCTGGGATAGACTCCAGCCCCCCCACGACCCTAGTGAGGATTAAGCGGTGTATAGATAATGGATGGATGGATGGTTGTGGGATTTCTGTGGTCTCAGCAACAGGTAAAGTATTTCAAAGGCGTACATATGACGTAAAAAGCAGTTTATAGACGGTAAGGAGGAACCCTATGATTGGCATCATCTATGACAAAATCTGATCTGAAAGCCAGGCCCAGTGGCAATGTGCAAAACGACCAGCTGAGCTCCTAAATCCTTTTTTCAGGGCATTCCCATGTGTCAAATACAGGAATGGTGGTGTTTGGATACACTAAAGTTGGAGACAGTATTAGTCATGCGTGGGGAAGTTGTTTTACAGTTTCTATAGACAAGATTATGTGTGTTAGTGTAGCATTGATATGACAGCAAACAACTATCTGCTCCGTAAAAATATATCAGAGTAATTCCAACGAATGATTCCACACTACCTCTGTGTGTGTTGCAATCTGAGCTTCTCTGGTTTATTTGATAGTCATTCCAGCCACACTTAGACATTAGTGCATGTGAGTCCTTCCATTTGAAGCCTTTGACCCTCTCTGTACTTATAAACTCAGAGCGATCGGCCAGCTTTGTAAGAGTTAGAGTACAGTCCAGTGTTTTATTTCTGTTCCTTCATATGTTCTGTGTTCCGCTGTGTGTGTGTCTCCTCTGCTGTGTGTCACCTTGAAACAGATCGGACTAAAGCAAAGATGAGACAAGACAGGTTGAGATAGCGCTATGTTAAAACCATTCAATTACACTACAAAGCTGGTGTGGGCTCATGGTTGTGACGAGATTACTTTGTGTTGTCTCTCTCGTACACAGACGTAATGGTTGTGAATGAAATGAAAGGCAGGTGGGGCCGACTTGCTGTCTTGTTTTGGTCTGGGATGCTTCACTTTGACATCCAGTGGTTAAGAGTAACTTATACAGCACCTGTAATATTTATTTTTAAAATGATTAAATTGTTTTAGTATTCTATTGAAATACACTAACAATTAGAAATATATATACTAAGAATTATGTAGCTAGGAAATGCTCAGCTTGCATTCCATCACCACGATGTCATTTGAGTTGCTCTGATATGCTGCTCAGACCACCGTAACTAGCTCAAGCTTTGGTACAATTTGAATCTTGTATGTTTTTTAAGTCATATCAGACCACTTTACATTCAATTATGAAACAAATGATTCTTTGTTTGAGCTCCAGACCTGTTTCTTCTCCTGCCTTGCCATCCATCTATCCAAGCCATTTACAACATCTGACAGAAAAAAAAGGGAGATTGATCTGCAAGATGACTTTTGGGGAAACCCACTGACAGTATGAAAGGAAACCCTTTGGAACATCCAGCATTATCTGAATTGTTGGTTCGTCTAGACTTGAGTTTAATGGTAAGAGTGAAAACATACTATAGTTTGAATTTTAAAGACTGAGATACATACATTGTTGAAGATGGATGTAGCGAGGTTGAGCTCCCCTCCTCCTCGATGACATTGACGAGTGAATGTGCCAAGGCTGAGTCCCGGAAAGCCCCGGCCCAATTTAACCCCTGGGCATGTGAGCTTCATTAGCCAAATGAGCCACCTGGACTCTGTAATGAATATAGTGGGCCTACATAATAAAATAAGCCGGTGCTCATTCCCCCTGTGCTTAGAGGATACCAAATTGCGGAGTCACTGTTGTGAAGGCAGGGGTGCCTTGTTAAAATGCACTCCATCAAAGTTTCCTTTGAAGTAATAGCTGACAGAAAACATAATGTGAGTTCAACTTGACAGATCTCTGGAAGAAAAAAAAAAATTACTTGGGAAATGCTGAACGAGCCTGTGGAAGGGAAGGGAAATGGGGTGAAGTAAGGTCTCGCTGCTCTTCAGTAAATTCACTCCAGCACAGAGTGCATTTCAATTAAGAAGTTGTCTTGAAGTTTATCTGCTCAACTAAAGGATTTCATTTCACTCATCAAATATGAAGACAGTCCTCTCTCGAATGTTTGGAAATTTAAACCTGCAATATTGCCTCATCACTCTCACCAGAACAAGCATCTTTTTTGAAAGGGTTTCACTTTAGTTGACACTGGTTGTCTGAAATTTCATCACTGTTCTTGTTATTCCCTGTACAACGGTAAATGATTAAATGAGAATGTTATGCAAAGGTTCGTCCTTGCAATGTATACAAGACAAAACTTTAAAAACTGCCTTTTTGAGAGCTGGGTATTGATTATGAAGTCAAGAATTTTACCGAGTGCCACTGAATGTTGAATGACTTCATTCAGGGACCGATGTTCTATTCTTTCGTTAGGACACAACAGTTCCGCATTGCTTTGACTAAAACATCATTTTTTAAAAGGATTTTCTAATACTAATTAATCACTTTTTGAGTAATACGCAGCATGTATTTGTTTTTGACCTTGTTTCATTTTTATTCACAATAGCAGCACAGCTCTAGAGCCTGCAATGGCAAGGTTGATCCACCACTTTAGTTCACAACCTTTTACCTCAAGAACCAGATAGAGCTGCTTGATCAACGTTTGTCGTCGCTCAAGGATCATCTGAACGGCACTTTATTTATTTATCTATCTCTAGTGTTGCTATTAGGTAGACATTTCTGTTCACTGAAGTATCTTAACAAGTTTTGAATGGTTGTCATAAAACTACACGACAGGTATTCATGACTAGCTACTATTAGCAACCCTAGTGAGGATTAAGCAGTGTATAGATGGATGGATGGATGGATGGATGGATGGATGGATGGATGGATGGACGGATGGATTGATGGATGGATGGATGGTATTCATGATCCTCACAGGATTCATTTTACTGACACAGATCCAGTAATTTTTTACTTGGTGACATTGGACTTCATTCATCGGGTGAAATATGTCAGTCCAATCACAATCAGCACAACATGTTATATGAACACTCAACGAAAACCAAGAAAAGTTTCTAAAAACGTAGGTGATCCCTTGATTCTCCTTCAGCAAAACCCATCTTAAACCTTCAGCGTTGGGATGTCTACGAATCTGATTGAAATGCGTCAACTATCAATGCTCATTACCCCAACATCGTGACTTGAGATCACCCATTGACACTTAGACGAATATCTATGAGTTGAGCTGCCTAAATTGGTCTAAGCGGAAATCAATAGTTAAATTGGAAGGTAAGGTTGACAGAGAAATAAAAGTCAAAACTGCACTTTGCATGGTTTTCCCTAAAAATAAATTAGTTTGGTGTAAAATGGATGGAAGACCAGACACATATATACTTGGTGTGAAACTAAATAAAGTCTCTGGTGGCATTAAATTGTGCACACACTTGAATGGGAAAATACAGTTAATGTATCTAAAACTGGGAAAGCTAAACAAAAACCAGACCAGCTCTATTGGTCAGTATTATAGGAAAAAGCCAGCTGTTGTATTCAGATCACATTATCAGCGCACATTACAATAATGTATTCATATTCTTTTACATCCCTACTAAGTACCTATAAAATCTGCTGGAAAGTTTGATGGGTGGTATTTGAAATGATGGGCTCTTTTCCATCTAATGTAACACAACCTTAGACCTTGTCCCTGAATTTCTAAGTGTGACTCCTTGATGTTCCTGTTTGCTCTTTACGAGCTTGTTCTGAGTTTCGATTGGCCTGAGGCAGGAAGTGGAACACAGGTTTGATTCCCTTTTGACCGCGGTGTCACCTACGCAATGCGTCGTCCACAATAAAACTCGTTCTTCCCTCCAGAAACCTCCGGCGGCCGGCCCAGTTTCTTCACATATGTAAGCTGTAGGTTTGTTGGGTTTCATTTTATAGGTGCGGAGGTGCTTGGCACTACTCAAGTGTTTTTCACAGTTCAAAACTAATAAACATAGTAAACCTTGAGGGACTCTGTTAGTGCGACTGTACTTAATTACCTCCTCATACTTCATCAGTGGCTAATAACGAGTCAGATCTCCCACTTGGGTGCTAGCCTCCAATCTGTTCCTACACATGTCCTAATATAACAAACTAAGAGGACTACAGCACCGTATAACACGCTGCTGATGTATTTCTAATACAAGTCCAGCTTTTTATGAGTAGCACCCTGCATCCAGGAGAGTTGGGAACAAAACAAATTACATGTTCAATACTGAATAAATTGCATTTGTTGTGTTGGAAAAATACATCTTAATTGGGGCTATAAAATTACAAAATATATATATTTTTAAAAAGCATACATTTACAGCCACAGTTTTCCAAATCCCAGCAAGTCCTCACATCTAAGAAGCAGTAAATAGATCGCATAATGATTGTGGATTAAATATCCACCTTTTCACTCTGTTTTTGATTTATCATTTAGCTAGTTAGCTTGCAGATGTATTTATTTTTTCACTTCTTGCGTACTTTGTCTCACCAGAATGCGTCGCTCCTTCTGCTCGCAGTCTCATACTGTTATGTCGGCTGATAATATGATCACTTTCAGCGAAGCATCCTGCCTTGTGCAGCTTTACACACTAAGCTCAGTGCTCACACAGGCTGCACTAATGGGAACAGAAATCTGACTGTTTGCATTCTGTGGCACAGATGTTACGGGGTCTGTTTACCTGTCCCATCTGGGATTAGTGTTAATGTGGCAGCTCCTCACGGCTTAGGCAGCTCTAAGAAAGTGTCCCTAAATGAAGTAAAAATGTGTAATTACCCAGCATCCATCATTTAAGAACACTGGTTTCTCCCACAGTGCCCTCCAGGGCTGAGCCCTATGAAGGATGGGACCGGGTGCTACGACCACCACATTGGCATCGACTGCTCCGACGGCTTCAATGGAGGCTGCGAGCAGCTGTGTCTCCAGCAGCTGGCTCCTCTGGAGGACGACCCGACGCTCTACAACATCCAGATGTTCTGTGGGTAAGGATGAACACATTCAGTGTTTTTATATGTTCAATTATTATAATTATTATATTATATAACCCTGCCAAGTAGAAAAGTTTCACTGTTTACATACCATGTGGTCAGAAAAGGCAAGATCAAGCTGTATCAACCGCCTCCGTGTTTATTTATTGTTTTAATACTGAGGGACTAACCGGTGGATTTAGCAAATAAAGTGACCGCAGAACACTTAATGTTTTGGAGTTGTGGCAGAATATTCCCAGTAGTACAAGCGTTACCATGAGAGTTGCACTGCTAATCTGCTAATGCCTGGTTTCCACAACAAATATCAATAGTTTTTTTAGTTGTCACAGTTATTGGCAAGGGTTAAGCTTAGGGCAGGGAAATGTAGCTGAAAAATATATTATAATACAGTTTTTATGTATTTATTTGTTTTTAATTTCAGTCATTATTGACAGTCATTGGAGTTAAGTATTAAATTAAGGCCTTATTAAGGTGTTGTTAACCTAAAACATAGGAACTGGAGCCATTTTGATGAATTTAATCTCCTAAAAGGCAGAAACATTTCACATTTTCCATCTATTAAACTGTTCTGTAACCTGAGCTATTTATTTTAAATGGTTACTTTAAAGTGGTTCTTTGATGCTCTAGAAATTATAATCCCCAAGTACTTCAGTTTTACCCATTTACAGTTTCTTTAGTTTTTTTTTTCATCCTGTCCTCTCATTGTCATTGCCTTCATTAACATTAACATTTACTTCTTAAAGTACAAGGGATACCATTACATTATCAGCATGTAGTGTCATTTCATGTTCTCCAGTTAATATTCCCGTCATATCTATATTTTTTCCACTACTTTCTGCCTTGCATAAAACACTATAATTGGTGAAAGAGAATCACCTTGCCCTGTGCCTCCCTTCAGAGTGAATATTTCAGACTGTATCCTGTTAATTTTTACTCTCGTGGATGGTTGATTGTACCTTGCTTCTACCTTTATGATAAACTCATTGTGACACTCAACACCCTCCATTTACCAAATATAACTGATCATGATGAGCTTTTCCAATGTCAAGCGTTAACATTAACAGCTGCTCTTTATATTTAACTGAATAATCCGACAAAATTCACAGTAAGTGAAACATCATTACTTGGCATGTGTATCGCTAAATGTAATACATAGGAGTTGACATTCAATAATTTATTAGCCATGAATGCGGTGAACACAAAGTAAATAAATAAATCAGCCTATATGAGCTGCACTCAGTGTGGTTCTCGCCTTTCTTTGTTATGACAGTTGTAACAGAAAAAATCCATGTTTCAGATTCGTCTTTTCTTTGGTTTTTAAAAGAAAAAATAACTTTTTAAGAAGTGTAAAAGAATGATTTGTCTATCCGTCACTTCCCAGACTCTTACCTTCCCGACTTTTATGTATAACTCAACATTTTTTTTCTAACTAATATTGGTTCTGGTGTTATTAAGTTTTGATCATCCGTCACTTGGGGTAAGTTTAATTTGTTCAGATATTGTTTACTTTTTATTATATTCTGCTTCTTTATAAAGTTCTGTCTCAAATATCTCAAAAATCACTCCATAATTTTGGATTTTTCAGTGTGCTCCCTAGAGTTTTTTTTTTTCTTCTTTTTTTTAATAATATTTCAGAGATATCATAAAGCAGTTGATTAAGATTTACTCTCCCTGATGATTCTCAACACTGTGCATTAAAACCAATCATTTTAAATGGTACTTCTACCCATAATGAATCAAATTAATTATTCATGAATCCATTTAAAATACATTTTACCACCATCTGATACTTCGATGCTGTAATTCAAACCCCGAGCTCATGTGTGGCTCGAGACACTGTGGAGGTAGACGTTCTCTTTACTCACTACATTTCTCGTTAAATCCGTTCGCTCGGTTCAGGCAGAGCAAACCAAAGCTGACCTGAAACCAAACCACCAAATACACAATGCTTGACGGTGTTTAGGACGAGGCAAGTATCGGTCGTGTTGTTTGGGAGAAATTCATCAGCGGTTCGTGGTTGTAGCTGACAGGTATAATATCTTGGAGGGAAGTTTTTCGGGACACATGAGTGGGTGTGAAGGGCCAGCTGCAGTTCTTTGAGTGAGAAAGTTCCTTCATGGGGGATAACTGACAGCGAGACAGTCACTCTGCAGTGTGGGCAACAAACTGTGCATTGTCCCTCAGATTAACAGGATGTGGAAGAGGATATGATGGTGATGGAGGATGCTGTCAGAGCGGGATTAGTTGTAAACAGGTTTGGACCTGTTAGCGAGCTGCTGCTGAGTTTCTTTTCAATAGAACAAAGCTTTCACCCTCACAAGTGTAGAACCTGAATTCAAGTTTGTGTTTTTCGAACCTGACTCGGATGCTTTTCCCTCGTCTTTACTTCTGCAGCCTTGAAATTGACAATGGGGACCATTGAATGTGTGAAATGTTTCCTTTAGACGCTTAAACAGCTCTACTTGCTGTCATTTTCTGACTCTTCCAACCAGTGAAACATTTGTTTGCCCCTACACACCTGAAGGTTATTAGTGTGGGCTAAATGTATTATGCTGTTCCAGTGTTGACACCATTGCAGCGTACAATGTCTGAAGGTTATTTTGTGTTGTTTTGTTTTCTGTTTTCTGCCAATGAGGCTGCGGTCTCACAGTCAGACTGAGTACAATGAGCAAACTCACCCTCTGACACGTGGAGCTTCTGTGAATACCATCGATTCTTAACCCCGAGATACATTTGTGTCCAAAGTCTTGTTCCTTCTTCTGGGTTGAGTTGTTCTCGTCCAGATTCATTGCAGTAAGTTGTAGCATTCATCAGATGAAACTGCAAGACCTCATGTTTCCAACAATGCTAGTTTCCGTAATTTTTGAGCGCACCTGAATATAAGCTGAACCCACTAACTTCAAAAAGAAAAGAATAGTTGAACATATAGAGGCCGAACTTGTCTATAAGCTGCAGGTGTCCACGTTGTGACATGAGATATTTACACAGAAAGATTTTTTTAACTTTTAATTAAATACATACTCTTAATGTACACAAATACATACCATAAATGCTTTACTCCGAACAGTCCCTGTAACACGGCTGGTTAGAAAAATAAAAAACCCAGTAGCCTACCAGGAAAAGTCATTGATCGTTATCTTCATCTTCCTCCTGCGCACTAAAACCACTAAAGTCGTCTTCTTCAGTGTCGAAATTGAACAGCCTCAGAATGACTTCGTCACACACTTCCTCAGTATCTCTTTCGTTGTCGCTCTCGATGTCACTTTTGTCTCGAGGCAAATTCGTAAAAATCCATAAATTAGCCGCATCATTGTTTAAACCGCGGTGTTCGAAGTGTGTGAAAAAAGTAGCCGCTTATAGTCCGGAAATTACGGTACTTTCCTCGAACTAATAAAAAGAAAAGGAAAAAAAAAAAGGCTTTACATCAAATATAGTCATAGTTGCAGCCCCTATACAGCTGTTAGACTGATCTGAGTCTATCGTGAAACTGTCTTTACCTGATGTTTTGTTATCTATGTAATGGTATGTTAATACATTCCTACGCCTGCTTCTTGGTTATATAAATCTCAAAATCCCTATAGTAATATAACAGAGTTCCACTGCATATCAAAATAAACAGCAGAACTTACCCTTTCTGATAATATTGTTTGTATGCAACAAAGAAATATAGTTTTAAAATGATGGCAGATGTCTGCATTGACTCCAACACAGAGCCGACATTATATCTCAACTTTTATTTACTTTTTTTTTTAAACTCTAATGATTTAAAAATTGTGGTCAAAAGAAAAGCGCAAGTATCCTCTGTGTAAAAATGTAGAGGAAATTGTAGACCCCAGAGCAGCCCAAGGTAATGTGATAATAGAGTCCCCCGTGTTTGAACATGAGGGGCAAACATTTACCTGCTTTGCCACCTTTGCGAGAAGGATACTGTATGTGAACACTAAGGTAGGCATGTTTCCTGACATCTGAGTCATACAGTATCCTGCCATTATGGTTCCAATATTGCCAGCTTCTAGACAATCTCCCCTACACTGTTATGAAAGGAGGTCTCTTCTATCAGTATTTTATGAAGAGATACATGCAGATAATGTTAAATGTTTTCCTTTCTCCTCATACAAGCTAAAATTCGAAAAGCATATGAAAGAAAATAGGGCTGGCCCATATCATACTTTACACCGTAATACCAGTGTAATGTTAGGGGATGATATGAAATTGAAATATTGCAATAAAATTTGAGTGAAAGGCGCATGTGCAGGGCCGTTGTTTTCATCCGGTCTAATATACATGGAGCGAGAAGCGTGGCGGCGACCGAGGAGGAGGACGAATGCAGAGCATCAACCGACACAGTAGAGCTGGACCCGAATATTCGCCTGCAACCCGCCCCCGCCGCCGCCTCCACCTGATGGTGGAAACAGAGCTCTGACCGCTATCGTAAACTGGCATTAGCCGCCAAGTGCTGCGTGTGCGTCCTGCCCACTTCCACCCCGTTGGTCTGAATATTCACCCGCCGCTCAGCAAAATCTTATGTTGGAAAGCAACTCTAATTTACTTTTGCGGATACGATGCATTGTTATCAGGATTTGTCAGCCCATTTCCATTTGAAATGCCTTTTGATTCAACAAGTGGTCAGCAAGCACTACTGGTTTTGGTACGGGGCTGCAAGGTCGCTCGGCTCTCTCCAGGTTCTCCGGCTTCCTCCCACACAGTCCAAAAACATGTTGAGGTTAATTGGTGATTCTAAATTATCCGTAGGTGTGAATGTGAGTGTGCTTGGTTGTCTGTCTCTAAGTGTAGCCCTGTGATAGACTGGTGACCTGTCCAGGGTGTCCCCTGCCTTCACCCTGAGTCAGCTGGGATAGACTCCAGCCCCCCACGAACCTAGTGAGGATTAAGTGGTGTATAGATAGTGGATGGATGGATGGTTTTGGTACAATATAGCTTTAATGCACATCAAAACAACTGTTGCTAAATGGAAAAGAAATTGTTCTTTTTATTAGTTGCACCAATAAAATGTTGCCGTTTTGAAATATTTTGTCTAGCGTAAGTCATGTCAGTTATACCGTTATCGCAAATTTTCCCATTTATACCGTGATAAAAGCTGTTGGCCATATCACGATGCCCTAATAGAAAATCTGGATCAAGACCGTTCTGAAACCAACAAGATACAACATTTATGGCTCGTCCTTAAAAGTGAAGCTACTGAAATGTTCCTGAAAATAACCTCAGGCTCATAGGACTAAAGCTGGAGGCAGTGTTTTATTTTACTTTTTTTGCAGTATTGAGGCGATGTGAGCTGTGGGAGAAAAATGTTGCATTAACTAGTTTTTTTTAGTTACATTCCAGCTAAGCTAAGTTCAATCATAAAGCCAGAACAACAGCGTGAGTATGCAAAGCTTTAATCTAAAGGCAATCTAAAGGGAGAAAGGTGATCTTATATTCCGCAGCTCATTAGCCGTACAACCAGCATGTTGTGGACCGCGTGAATGTGGAAAGCGTTTCACAAGAGATATAATTAAACACGAAAATGATTTTTGATGATCTCCACTGCGAAGCGTCGCCATTCCCTATAAACAACAGTCTTCTAATTGAGCACAACAGGCTGTTGTCATCTTTACAGCAAACATCATGTCGCCGGCACAGTATTTCATGTCAAATTTACATAAGCGGGCGATACAAACTGCTGCTTCATTTAATTCTCAACAACAGCATTTCGTTGTTGTCTCTTCACATAGTGCAGATGTGGCTAATCCTTCCGCTGTTCCCACCGGAGACTGGCATTCGCTTTGCGACATTTGGCATCCAGGAGAGGAGCTTCTCCTCGTGTAAATCCCTGACAGATTATCTTTTCTCTCTTCGCCTGGCCCCATCCCCTCCCCCATTTCTCTCCCTTTACTTTGTCAGCCTTTGATTCATCTCACAGAGTATATTATACGGTGAGATGTCAAAACATCATCAATATGAAAGAGCCTTAAGAGGACTCTCACTGTTTGGATTCTCACTCCCCTATTTTTTTTTTTTTTTTTCTTTGAAATGGAGGATTTTGTGTCAGTTGAGCAGAATTGATTTGACTGATTCTACTGTGAGGTTTGATTTGTACATGCTTTGAACCCAGCAAGAACGTAGCGGATGATATCTCCAAAAAAAATAACCTTTCAGTTGCATATTTCTAGCTGTGATGGTGTTTATACTGTCTAGGTTTATTGATCCAGCATTGAAAGTACTATGATTATGATCTGAAGGCTATGGATCAGCAGCACATGCAAAATTCGCACAAACGCAAGTCTGGTTTTCATACTTAAAAAAAGAGCGTGCATCAAAAATGTACAACAAAGAATTTTCCTTGAAGCAAATCTTGGCCTAAAGTACATCTGTTCTACACGCAAAGACTGAAACAGCCTCTAAAAACATAAGCTGCAGTGTTAAAATTCACATCGAGCTCATTGCAGTCGAGCAGTGAGATCATGGGCCAAATAAAATCTGTCCAGTTGGATCAGAGATGTTACTTTATGGCTTGTTTTCGCTGCCATGTGATCCTCAGGAATCATTTTAAAATATCCAAATGAACAAAAAGCAAGTTTTCTACCTTTTTTTTTTTTTTCTTCATAAGAAAACACTTCCAGAAATGTCTTGATGAACAGAGATAAGTTTTAGGGGTTTAATCAATGCCGGGAGGTTTTAAATTACAAGTAAACGCTTTTAAAATTATAAGCATAATTGACTTTAACCTGAATACCAATTATTTTTATTCCTAAATAGCAATTAAGACAGGAAAATAATCCTGGAAGGCAAGGAGGAAGTAATGAATGAATCAATCGGTTAAATAACCAAAATCCCCTGTCGCTCCAGCTGCATCGAGGACTACAAGCGAGGTCCAGATGGGAGATCGTGCCTGCCGCTGTCTGAGGCCTGCACCGAGGGAATCGACTGCGGGGAGGCGGCAGACATCCCCGCCAACCAGACCGTGTTCGGAGACCTCTTCTACGGATACAACAACCACACCAAAGAGAGCACCTCCGGACAGATCCTCAAGGCCACGTTCAGGTGAGCGCACGAGGCGTTGGTGAAGTGGAGCGTGACCGACATTGTTCTGCCATTTGTATCTCAGCAGGGAAACAGCTGGGGAGGGTTCGGGCTCCGGGCTCCCGCAGCGCCGATCATGATTGAGCTATTTCAGTCGACATATTTTAAAGTGCTGGATGAAATAGCCCGAAGTGGCCGGTGTTTAAGGCGCCGTGTGCCGCATGAATCAAAGATGAGATAAGGATTTTGGAGTTACGGATGAGATCAAATCTATGTCTGGATGTGTGATCTAATTAAGGGAGAAACAGTGAGAATTCAAGCGAGTTTTTAGCCATTTTAGGGAGTGTTTTTGTGTGATTTTCGCGGATGGAGATGAGTTTAAGGGGTTTTATCAATGCTGGGAGGCCAGAATTAAGTATTAAGGTCTGATCTCAGTGTCGCCAAAACCACATGGAGAAAGCTAATTAATATTAAATGTAAATACAGTATTAATACTGCTCTGATTTATGGATTGGTTAAACAACAGAAAAACTGCTGCAGCTATTTTTAAAGCAGATTTATACTTTAAAAGTCAACTTTTTGTAGCTTCTTGAGTGTGATTCTTTTTTTTTTCATTTATAGTGTTGTAGGTGGGATATTCAATTTATTTCAATTCAGTCTATATAGTGCCAATTCTTAACATAAAACATCTCAAGGCATTTCATACAGTCAGATGAAAACCTTACAACATTATACAGAGAAATGAGTTGAATCCAAAGAAAACTCTGGAGTTTTTTCTTTCCACTGTTGCGAAGTTGCTCAAACGGAATCCAAAGCACAAGAGAACAATAAACGCTTTGTAGGTCGGCGAGGTCAGAGACTGCAAATCAGAAAACTGCAGATCAGAAACATGTAGCTCTGACGCTAGAGATACCTGCAGAGAGGACAAAATACAAACTACAGAGAGAAGACACAACGTTAATGACATGCAATGGAGAGAGAAAGAGGAGAGGTGCTCAGTGCATCACAGGAAGTCTCCCAGCAGTTTAGACGTATAGTTCAGGGTCACCTGGGTCAGCCGTGACTATGAGTTTTATCAAAAAGGAAAGTTTTCATCTTAAAAGTAGAGTTTCTGCCTCCCCAGTGCTGTTCCTGTGCTATGATGAAGCTCTTCACACAAACCATTTCTGTTCAGATGGTCACATAGTTGACTTGCAGAAGCTTTAACAAGAATTTCAGAGGTAAATTCTGAAATTGAGAAGATTTAGTGTAAGGTGAAAAGATGTTAGCAGGACAATAGACTCCCAGGTTTTTCTTATTGTCATCAAATCTCATGACAAAACAACAATGAATTGAATACTCTACGAAGTGTTGTTTGTGTGTCCAAACCCTGATACTCTGTTGTCCACAATATATTAAAAACAGTGTGAAAAATGTTTCTTCAATGCTAAAATTATGCACACTTTAGTATTTTAAGTAACACTGACAAACAGCCTAACAACTCAGCTCATTTTCAACATGTTCCTACAATGCAGAGGACAGTGAACATGAAACACTGTCATGTTTTTTTTTTATACTGGTAGTTGTGCTACTTATTGCAACCTCTTCACCGTGCAGTAAAGTGGCTTGAATCTCTTCAAAACCACGAGTACAAACATATGTCTGAAGCAGGAGAAGAAATGTGGTGGATTCATAGATCCATTCCAGTATGAGCCTGTGTGAGAAGGGGGAACAACAAAGACATGCTCAGTGAAAGAAAGACTGTACGCAGGAGCAGATGCTAATGTTACCCCATCGAACGATAATGAGGCACTGGGAACCCTGAACAGAACAGAACAGGAAGCCATCCAGGGCAGAGTGTAGATTCTGCTGTGAATGGGACGTCCTACAGTCTGGGAGAGACCAGGATGGACTTCCATGTATTACATTTGTTGTGGAGTTCTTGCAGAGGTTGATGTAGGGGAAGGAACCCGACACAGGGAGACACACCAGAGACTCAGATGACTTAGGTTGGAGTAAGGTTTACTGAATTCAGGAGAAGTGACACAAAGAGCATGCAATGTCAGCATCAATTCTGAAGATTCTCTCGCACCGTCAGTCTCACACCGTCCTTCGGTGAGGACCATATCTAAATTTATGGATTGTATTGGCCTTGATAGAGAGGAACCGGGAGTGCTTGCCTGTCCTCCTACAATAGATCTACATGAGGTCAAGAAGCTATAGAAGATTTGCGGATTAGTCCACATCTGTTACAGCTACTAATTTTATTTGGGGAGGTCAGGAAGGAAGCTAAGGGGAAAAGTTCAGCACCATCTCTAGTAACTTAACCCCAGAGAGGAAATTATTTTTCCTTCTCAACATTCACCAGCAGGACTTTAATCAGGCTGTGAAAGATAAAGGGACACTGACGAACAGGATCCAAAGGGAAAGTGATCCACACATTCTAATCCTAACTTTTTAAAAGGTTAAGCGAATCGATTACAACACAAGTTACGTTCCTAAACAGAACTACATGATTCTCCATGATTAGTGTGTTCAAAGACAGGGCCAGTAAAGAAACAAACAGGGTTGGGAAAAACTTTGATTTATTTATTTTTTTTGACAAGCCAGCAGCCCACCGATGCCGCGGCCCACCTGGATTTGTGATTGTTGTAATTAGTCCGTCCAGCTGCTTCTCATCTACTGTACCCACATTATTTGTAATGATGAAACATGTCAGCCACCGCAACGATGTGGCTCCCTCATGTGTTTGTCATCGTTTTTTTTTGGACAATAGTTAAGCTCTGTAGCACAAACGAACAAGCCAAATCAGATTTTGGATGTGCAGACAATTCTTGTTAGTAGCATACATTTATTGTTGTTCTGGTCTTCCGGGGATTTGTTGACTTCAATCAAAATATAGAAAATCACTGGCCTTATCCTTTCTAAGTATATTTTCTGGATGTGCCTGTTCAAATACTCCCTCACAGCCAAAAAGCTTTACTTTATTTTAGGATTGAATGCCAAGAATTCTACTACAGTATTCAGTGGGAGCTCTGACCAGAATAGATTCCATATTCGTGGGAAACTTGCCGGCAGAGTTCTATATCTGCACATGAAAGCTAGGTCGCTCAATCAGACACACATACCCATCGTAACAGTGCATCAGACAGGTGAGTTGTTGGAACATAACTATCAAAGAGCCTATTTCCATGTGCGTCAAACCACAAACAGAACAGATTTGGAGTTTTTTTTGCTGAGACAGACTTCAGTTTTATGAACTCACGAGGTCCAATAAAACCACACAGACAGCAAAATTGGAAAAACATATAATAAATACTGAAATACTGCACTGAAAATTACCACATAATCTAACAAATGTGAATGAATATCAGAGAAATAAACCTGAACAGCAGTCCACAGGTTTCCCTTTGGCGAGAAAATATTGTACTTCCTCAAGTAATAAGTGAAAAACCACAGGGCAGCATTCAACCCTGCTCTCTTCTATATAATAAGCTGCACAGAACCATCTAATAATCGTGTTGTATACCACCTATGACCACTTTAAAGAATCTCTCCTGAATCATTTCTGTAACAGCACTCCCTGTGTCCCATCATACCCAAATGAGTCAGTGCAAACATGACAAAGAGGAAGAGAAATCACTTCCTCATCGTATATGTATTGAAAAGCCAGTTCACAGGCATTAAGGTATTTAGTCAGATGTCTTCCACAAGGACAGCTGCTTTCTCATATTTAGTTTCACCTTCATTCAGACAGATAATAGTGTCGCGTATTGTCGCCGAACCATTTATAGAACTCCTACTGTACTGATAGTGGTGTTAGCTTCCTAAGTGCTATGGATCAACATTTCAGACTCTCTCAGGGTGGAAGTCACACATTGGCAAAATGGAAGCGTCGCATACATAATCAGGAGGTAAATGTGTCCGCGCAGGTTTTTAAAAGCATATATGATTGTGTCGGTACCTGTAAAGGTTATTTCATGACAGGGCACAGATTTTCTGGTAGATTTTATGTCGGTGCCCTTCCTATAAAATAGAGACTAGGGATGATAAAGCTCGCCGCTGTCAGGAATTGTCCTCTATAAAACACAAGACATTTCTGCTAATCTCGGGGAAATACTCAGAGGAGAAGAAATGCTAAAGAAAAAAAAAAAAAATCCCCCCCATCACCTCTTTTGAAAGGCTTATATATTAAGCTGCACCGGTCCAAAGAGATGGCATAATTTGTCCAGGGTTTGATGTGGATTGTCGAGTACTTTGAAGGTGGTTAATTATCACTGTCCGCACGCTGTAATCATTTCCACTGAACTCAGGAAGCCAGAAGGTCAGCAAAGTCATCTGCAGCCCAGGAATTTAATTTGGGCCGCGCATGGATTCCGCTGCCCGGAGGCAACTCACCCACTTAGGAATCCACCGCTAGAGTCGCAGAAAGGGAGGGACGGGTGAGGCAGGAAAGTTAATATAATCAAGAATCCAAATCTCAAATGCTCTGATCTCATTTGGAAGTGCTTGTGAATAGAGAGCGGGGTCTAAGGCAGACTTTGAAGACCGCCAAACGCTTCCTGTGCAAGATGAGGTGGTGGAGGAGGAAGGACGACTCTGTTGGGAGGCATGGTTAATGCAAAGCCTAATTATAAGAGATAGCAGCAAACGAATTAAAAGTGACCAGGAGGCAGTGCGCCGAACTAGAATCGAACCGCACCAGATGAACGCTTGAATGTAAAATGAAGCGGAAGTTACGGGAAAAAGAGCATCACAACGAAACATTGGAGATCTGTTCGGGGGGTGGTTTGATGTCAGTAAAGAGCTCGAAACAGAAGTCTTTTACTTGTGAAAGTCAGCCTGTGGCAATACATGCCTATCATGAGCCTGTAAATCTGTCCCCAAGGAAACTAAATGTCAAATTTAATGTGGTACTGCAAGAATGACTCGCTGCTGGTCAGTATCAAATAGGGCTGCATGAAAAATGTTGTTAAAAGTGCACTGCTGTATTTTAAGGATGTATCAGATTAGACGCTCCAATAAAGTGCAATGATGCCGAA